ATTAAACAAGAGGAAAACCTTCTAAGCACCAATTCCACCCATGCTTTTTACAATTTTGTAAATAACAAACTAAAAGACTCAAGGTCCATCCCACCCTTGATAGGACCTGATGGTAAAGACTGCAACGACGACACCATTAAAGCCAACATCTTTAACACATTCTTCGGCTCAGTATTTGTAAACAGCAATGGATCATGCCCAGTATTTCCTAGCCGTACCACAGATAACAACAATGATCTAATACATATCGATTTTACAGAAGACAATGTTGAAAAAGCACTACGCAATCTAAAACCATCTCTATCTATTGGACCGGATGGAATATGTGCCTACTTCTTAAAAAAGCTATCCACTGCCATAGCCAAACCTCTAAGCATAATCTTTGAAAAATCTTTCAGGACCAGCTCCTTGCCTAACCTATGGTCACAAGCCACAGTCATCCCCATCTTCAAAAAGGGAGACCCAAGCCTAGTTGAAAATTACAGACCAATCTCCTTATGCTGCGTCACCTGTAAAGTCATGGAATCAATTATTAACCAATCCATCATCCTCCACTTAGAGACAAACAACCTACTCTCCAATAAACAATTTGGTTTCAGAAAAAAACTATCCTGTAATCTGCAACTCTTACACTGCAAAAACATATGGACGACACAGCTTGACCAGGGCAAAGCAATAGACGCAATCTACATAGACTTCTGTAAAGCCTTTGATTCAGTGGTACATGACAAACTACTCCTAAAAATAAAATCCTATGGTATCTCTGGACAACTGAATAACTGGATAGAAGCATTCCTGTCAAACAGACAACGAATGGTCAAAATTGGGAGCGTCCTATCAAATTCTGTACCTGTCAATAGTGGTGTCCCCCAAGGCAGTGTTCTAGGACCAACTCTCTTCATACTCTACATAGATGACCTCTGTGATCATATTAAGAGCAATTGCATTCTTTTCGCTGATGATGTAAAGCTGTTCAATACCACAGACAATACTGCTACCCTACAAAAAGATCTTGACTATGTATCAGAATGGTCAAACAAATGGCAACTTCAAATCTCAACAAATAAATGCTCTGTCTTACATATTGGCAAAAAAAATCAGAAAATAAAATACAAGCTGAATAGTCAAGATCTTGTTGATGATCCAAGCTCTGTAAAGGACCTTGGAATACTCACCTCTAATGATATAAGTGCTAGAGCCCACTGCAACTACATAGCCAAAAAGGCATTAAGAGTAGTTAACCTAATCCTACGTAGCTTTTTCTCTGGTAATATCACACTACTAACCAGAGCATACAAAACATTTGCTAGACCAATACTCGAATACAGTTCATCAGTCTGGAACCCACACTACGTATCTGATATTAGCACAATTGAGAAAGTCCAGAAATATTTCACAAGAAGAGTTCTCCACTCCTCTACTCGTTGTAGAATACCTTATGCCACCAGACTTGAAATTCTAGAACTAGAAAACCTTGAATTACGCCGTCTTCGGTCTGATTTAAGCATGGTATATAAAATCATACATTGCAATGTCCTACCTGTCAATGAATACTTCAGCTTCAACCATAACAACACAAGAGCACACAATAGATACAAACTCAAAGTTAACCGCACCAAACTTGATTGCAGGAAATACGACTTCAGCAATAGAGTGGTCAATGTCTGGAATACTCTACCCGACTCTGTAGTTTCTTCCCCAAACCCCAAAAACTTTAACCTTAGACTGTCTACTATTGACCTCACCCCTTTCCTAAGAGGTCTGTAGGGGGCGTGCATAAGCGCACCATCGTGCCTACCGTCCCTGTCCTATTGTTTCTCTTATTCTTCTTTTATTTTTCTTATATGTACCCATTTCATGTATTCACAACTATGTATACACTTATACTTATTATCTTGTAAACAATTGGCAAATCAAATAAATAAATAAATAAATAAAATAAAATAAATAAATAAATGATCCCTGATGTCCGATGACAGATATGGCACAAGAAGAAGAAGAAACAGCTAAAGATTCTTGCCAGTACGCTTAGACCTCCTGTCTCCGGAGCTTCTGAGGCTTGACTTTCTTAAAGGGGAAGGGTTGTTTTAAGCTTTTTATACTGCTGTTGGGAGGAAATACTCCCCTGTTGGAGTTCTTCCAGTCGGGATGCCAAGATTAGCACTTTGAAGAAATAATTGAATAACCAAGCAGAGCTGCCAGAAAGACGTTTTTAATGACAAGGCACCAAGATGAGTGACATTCAGCAAGGTTTCTTGAAAGATTGACATTCAAACTCATTTTCTGAGTTTTGGTCTAAAACTGGTTTTTGGTGAAGTTTAATCCTGTGTTTATTGATGAGATAATTTTCCCTATTCAGCTTTGAAGGAAGGCCCCAGATAGAAGAAGAAACCATGAGGCAGCAATTAATTCAAACACAATACAAATAAATCAAATACAAATGAGTAGATCACAACAGTTTAAATCCTTTTAAACTAAAACACTAGCCTTCTCTGTCTCATTTCCAGAACTGACAGCCCCAGGGGAGTTAACCAGGGAAACACTTTAGACCAGTGGTTCTCAACCTTCCTAATGCTGCGACCCTTTAATACAGTTCCTCATGTTGTGGTGACCCCCAACCATAAAATTATGGCTCGGTTCCTAAGACCATCAAAAATATGTGTTTTCCGATGGTCTTAGGCGACCCCTGTGAAAGGGTCGTTCGACCTCCAAAGGGGTTGCGACCCACAGGTTGAGAACCATTGCTTTAGACTAATAAAACCACTGGAATGTAGCAACAATATAGTCAGAATGTAGCAACAACACAGCTATATCTTCTTAAACCAATTACCATCTTGTTAAACCAATTACCAAGATAAACAAGGCACAGGAACTAGTCAGATTTCCCAATTTTCTTTTCAACAGAGATAAACCCTTTTTCCTTCCAAACAAAGCCAAACTAAGAAAAAAAATCCCATAATAGATATAGAATTAAAACATCACCAAATACAGGATTTAATTATCAAAAGCATGTGTTGAGCTGAAAGGCTCAGAAAGAATATATAAACTCATGTTTGGATGTCAATCAGCCTAGCTAGCTGAGAAACTTTACTGAATCAAAGTTTCTTGCCATTAAAAGACTTCTTTCCGGCAGCTCTGCTTCACTATTCCATTTATTATTCAAGGCATCATTCGCTGTTTCCCAGCTGGAAGAATCCTCATCGGGAGGCATTTTCCTCCCAACAGGAGGAAAAAGGTTAATCTCTGTTCCTGAAAAGAAGCAGGGTTCAGAAATCTGGCTAGTTCCTGTATCTATTTGTTTCTGGTAATTGGTTTAACAAGCAATAGCTACTATGGTTGCTCTTTTGCAACATTCTAGCACTAATTGCTTTCTTTGTAGTTAGGCTTATCTCAAGTGTTTATACTTGAGCTTGCCTAGGTTGTGAGCTCTGGCAATGAGCCAGACAAGGCTTGTGTTTTAGTTTTAAAAGGATTTAAACTGTTGTGATTAAATTATTTGTATTGTGTTTGACTTTTTTCCTGCCTCGTGGTTTCTTTTTCCACCTGGGGTGGGGTCTTCCTTCACTGCTTTAGTGGTTCCTGGCACTGTCCTTTTGGGGTGTACTTCCAAGAGGCAGGATGCAAGCTTGGCACTGATTTTTTTTTTACTGCCTTTCTGGGGGGCATGTGATTTTTCCTTAAATCTGGATGATTTCCTTAGGATATCTTGTGAAGTGAGTGGTGCAAATGGAACTAAGGATTCCTTCTCCTGGGTGGGAAAGGGTGCTTTGTCAGTTCACTGAACGCAGGAATCTCTTGTCTATGGGGATTCTTCAGTCATCCAGGTCATGGCTGTCTCAAAGGTGCTTTTTTCAAGAGGCAAATGGACAGGGTTGATCTCCTCTAAGACTGACCAGTTTGATGGCCTTGCAGTCCAAGGGACTTGCAGGAATCTTCTCCTCCAGCACCAGAGTTCAAAGGCCTCCATTCTCCATTCTGCTCAGCCTTCCTTATGGTCCAACTTTCACAGCCATACATTCCAGCTGGGAAAACCAGTTTGTCTCTTTAGCTTGGCATTTTGTAGCCCAAGTTTCTGGAGAGCGTATATGACCTCTCTGCTAAAGGGTTTCACTTTATAAGCAAGAGTTGGCTGCTGATAGTTATCACTGCATTTTAACTATTTTAATTCCTCAAGGTGCTCTGGCACCCTGCCTGATTTGTAACTCCGACTTGCAGGTATTTTTAATGTAATGATTGGTATTTAGGCCAGCTTTTTTCAAGCAAAGAAACTTTTTGTATTTTTGTACAGTAGTTACAATGACACTGAAAAAAGTGATATATGACCGTTTTTCCACATTTATAACCATCGCAGCATCCGCAGGATCATGTGAGGCTGGGCGAGGCAAAGTGCCCCTCGACGTGCGGGACGTCAAATTGGCCACGCCCACCCAGTCACATGACCACCCAGCCATGCCTACCCAGCTGGTCATTAGGGCAGAGAACCAGTTGTTAAGTTATTTGAATCCCACCACTAGGCAAAACATGACAACTTTCTTGCTCAGCAACAGAAATTTTGGGCTCAATTGTGATTGTAAGTCGAGGACTGCCTGTAATGGTTGGATTGGTCTTTTGGTGCAGTTGCCACAGAGAAATAATTCTCAAGGAATTTTTAACTCTTTGCAGACGAGAGAACTCTAAAGGAAAGTCCCTGGCTGACTAGGGAATTCTGGGAATTGAAGTCCCCACATATCTTCAGCTTGCCAAGATTGAGAAACAGTGATCTAATATTAGGGGAAACTCTGTAAGATCCACGATTTGTGAGTTTGGGGGCAGAGGGATGTGATTTCCTCTACACGTCTTTCCTGTTTTAGACATTTCAGTTCTCATTATTTATGATAAAGATTAAAAGATTAAAATCCTCAGCTGATTAAATTATCTTTTTTTTTTTTGAGGGTTCCTGTGATCTTCGTGGCCTTTCCATATCGAGCTTCTAAAGGTCTTTTTTTCTTTCTGTAGCTATTATGGACATTATCCTCAGGCAAACGTGTGGGGTGATCCTGGTAGGAGATCCACACCAACAGATCTGTACCTTCCGAGGTGCTGACAACACAGGTTTTAGTGTGAGTGACAGTCGCAACTTCTACCTGACGCAGGTAAGCTGAGGTAGGAGGGCCGACTAGCTGAGAAATTTGACCTGGAGTTGTGGGATAGCTGTAGATTGAAGAGCCAGAAGATTCAGTTCTTAATGATTCGAGGATCTAAATTGTGGATCTTTTCCAGTTCCAATAGAAAGCAATCTCAACATCGGTCGGAATCCTGACATAGAGAAGATCCACAATTTGATCCAGAAGATTCAGTTTCTTGCAAATCATAGATCTAAATTGTGGGTCTTCTCCAGTTCCAGGTGAAAGTTATCTCACAGTGCCAATTGGAGAAGATCCACACATCTATCTATCCAGGGGTGGGATTCAACTGGTGTAATAACCGATTGGGTGAGCATGTGCTTTGTGCGTGTGCGCAGCATTTGAAAATAGTCTTCTTTCTTCCGTGTTCAAAATCAGCTGTGCTGCGCAAAGCAGCTGAGGTTGAAAAAGCAGGAAATAAAGGACAGTCTAGAGCCCAACCGGTTCTCTCTCAGCTGATCTTCGGAGCTACCAATACGGCAGAACTGGGCAGCACCAATAGAATCCCACCCCTGTATCTATGTGTGTCTGTCTGTCTGTCTGTCTATCTATCTATCTATCTATCTATCTATCTATCTATCATCTATTTATCATCTATCTGTATCATCTATATCATCTATCTATCATCTTTCTATCTATTATCTATCATCTATCTACATCTGTCTGTCTGTCTATCATATGTTTTAGTGTTACACTTGTTTTGCCAAAAACCAGCATTTCCAGTTCTGGTTGGGTTAATCCGTGCAGCATTCATTGTCCCCTTCAAAACAAGATCGTAAAATTGGATCAACGATGCTGCATTTTCCTTTCCCCTCTTGCTTCCACAGAGTTTTCGGTTTGGCTACGAAATAGCTTATGTTGGCGCAACTCTTCTGGATAGCCTTGTTCTGGACAAGAAAGTCCGGAACAAAACCTTGGTGGGAAACAACCTGAACAGTGAGTGTTTTAAGCCAGTCATCCTTTTGTCATTCCAAGTAAGAATTTCTAAGCAGGACTAACATGATGCTGTGCTTTTTACAGGTGATGTCAGTGAGGTCCACATAGAGGGAAAAGTGGCTTGCTTATCCCGGACCAACAAAGCCGTCTTTAAGAATGCTGTGGAAATTCTAGATAAAAACTCATCTGCTAATATATACTTCGTAGGGGTGAGTGTGAGAAGGCAAAGGAAGGGTGCAGTAGGGATTGATTCCTCCCTCCCTCTTTTCCTTCCTTCCCTCTCTCTTTTTCTCCCTTCCTTTCTCCCTCCCTCCCTCTCTTCCTCCTCCCCTCCTCCTCTCCCTCCCTCCTCTCCATCTGTCTTCCTTCCTTCCTTCCTCCCTCCTTCGCTCCCTTTCTTCCTCCTTCTCCTCCTCTTCAAAATTCCTTCTCCTTAGTAACAGACTTTGTAAATAGTTGGACAGTGTTGAGGGAATTATTTGTTTAATAGAGTGATGGTGTTGGGGAAAAAACTGTCCTTGTGTCTAGTTGTTCTGGTGTGCAATGCTCTGTAGCGTGGTTTTGAGGGTAGGAGTTGAAACAGTTTATGTCCGGGATGTGAGGGGTCTGTAAATATTTTCACAGTCCTCTTTTTGATTCATGCAGTATGCAGATCCTCCATGGAAGGCAGGTTGGTAGCCATTGTTTTTTCTGCAGTCCTAACTATCCTCTGAAGTCTGTGTCTGTCTTGTTGGGTTGCAGAACCAAACCAGAGAGTTCTAGAGGTGCAGATGGCAGACTCAATGATTCCTCTGTAGAACTGGATCAGCAGCTCCTTGGGCAGTTTGAGCTTTCTGAGTTGGCGCAGGAAGAACATTCTTTGTTTTGTTTTTTTGATGACGTTTTTGATGTTAGGTGTCCATTTTAGGTCATGTGACATAGTAGAACCTAGAAATTTGAAGGTCTCTAGTACTGATACTGTGTTGTCTAGTATTGTAAGAGGTGGTAGTATGGGAGGGTTTCTCCTAAAGTCTACCACCATTTCTATGTGGTTTTTTTTTAAAGTTTTAAATTTTTTAATTTTTACACATCTCTTTACGTGAGCAATGTGGTTCCAATTATAACACTTATACATAAACATACTTTCATTTCCACCAAACTTATATAATCTCATCTCATATCATTATCCATTTCGCTTATCTTTAAATAAATTTCCATTTTATATTTCAATTCATTAATTCAATATCAATATCATTTCATCCAAATATAAATTCCCAATTCTTTATCCCCTATTATTTCCGTTTATAGCTTACCACCTATTTTATTTAACATTACACATCATTCTTGTCCTTAATTTTTCCTAAGCCAATTATATAATAAACAATCTATAAAAAAGCAAGAATAAAACAAAACCAATACATTTAGGATCCACATGGTATATCCCCTCAATCTATCTAATTTAATAATTCATTCCCCAACTGTAAGCATATTAACATTAAATAATCAACTGTATATTTTAAAACGTGTATTTTAAGGTATCCTCCCTAGAATCGCTGGAATGACTTTCTAATATATCTCATTTCATCTTGACTTTTCTTTTAATCATTAATAATCATATTTTTTTTCCTTTTCTACTTAGCCAAAATTTATATATTTTAATACATTTCACTTTTTTTATAATCATTAATAATCATATTTTTCCTTCCTTACCACTTATCCAAAATTTGTCTATATATTTTAATACATTTCCATTCCCCTGTTTTATTCCTCCAATATCAGGGTTCATAACAGCATAATTCATATACAGTATGTGTATGTATGTATTTGTATGTGTGTGTGTGTGTGTGTGTGTGTGTGTGTGTGTTCTCACGGGTATTTGTATGTGGATCTTTGGTTATTCGGGTTTTCTCCCGCGTAAGATTGGAAGTATCTAGGCAATGTTTCGATGAAGTTTCATTCATCATCTTCAGGCTTCTGTCTTCAGCTCTGTGCTTCTCAGAGTGAGGTTCACTCTGAGAAGCACAGAGCTGAAGACAGAAGCCTGAAGATGATGAATGAGACTTCATCGAAACGTAGCGACGTTTCGGCAGAATCTCATCTGCCATCATCAGGCTTCTGTATAGTGTTCATCTGTGAGTCAGGCTTTTACAGTGGTTTCAGATTTGAATTTGGGGCAGCCTATTGCTGTGCCAGAATGGTTTTTTCTTCATCCTGATTGGTTGAGAGTCTTGGTCTGTGTTTATTGGTCTTGGAGTTTGCTGTGTTCTGCTTCTAATATCTTCTGTCTGTTTTTTTGGCTCTTTTTGTGTCTTGATTGGCTAGCAACATTGTGTTACTTTATTGGAGGCCTTTAGTGCAGCTTGGCTCCGGGTAAATGGACGGCTATCATTAGTTAGGAAGCTGGGTTTCATCTGGGTGCCTGGTTGGGGTGTGTTTGAGCTGGAGGTATCAGGGGGGATCTGTTTGTGCCCAGGTGTTTGCCTGGCTTGTGGTGTGGAGATTTTTTTGTTTGTGAGTTCAGGCTTCCAAATGATTGACAATCTGGTGGAATCATCGCTTCTGTTCATGCTTTCTGGTCTTTTTTCAATCTCTATGGCTTCTCTGATGATTCTGTGGCTGGGGTTTTCTATAGTGGCTAGTGTTTGGGTGCCATTGAAGTCGATGCTATGACCTGTAGCTTTCATGTGTTGGACTAGTGAGGAAGTGTGTTCCAGCTTTTTGACTGCATTTTTGTGTTCATCCAGGCGAGTATTTATTCTTCTATTGGTCTGTCCAATGTATGTGGCCGGGCATGATGCA